GCAACAAAAGAAGACCCAACCAATCAGCTGGGACTCGGGAGGCAGAGAATAGATGGGGGTGGAGCCAGTCAGAGGTGGTATTCTGAACCACTCAAAATTTCCACTACCAGTTCTCCAGAACTGGTCAGAACCTGTTCCAGTTGCTATTCAAGGTGCTGGTTGTTACCTATAAAGCACTTCTTTGAACAGGGTCTAGTTATCTGAGGAATTATCTCTTACCCATGATTTATAAGATCTGACAAATTAAGCATGCTCCAAGCCCTGCCTTAAAAGCAATGCAAGCTGGTGGGACCCAAGAGGTTTCCTTTACCTGTTGTCACATCGACACTCTGAAATAGCATCCCTCAAAATGGTTTGAGTGATCCCAACCTTGTTTTCTTTTCAGCAGGCCTTGAAGACCTGGTTCCCCCCACTACACACACACACACACACACCCAGGCTCAGGTTAGATGGGATAACTGTCCTCTGAGTGTGATGGTGCTGTGTTAGCTTATATTGGTTGCCTGTTTATTCCCATTTGTCACTTGCATTTGGTTTTTGTGAGATAATCAGCCTTCTAAATTGGATTTATAATTTTAACAATAAATAATCACAACTAATGAACGCTGATAGATAACATTTCAAATACAGCACATATTTCACATGGTGGTCAGAACAGAATCCATCATCATAGCTCTCTAGATGTCCACGGTTAGCTAAGAACAAAATCAACTAAACCACAGTTTTAGCATAATGGCTAAGTTCAGTCATTGTAAATTATTTTTTTAATCAAAGTTTATGGAGAAGTTCTGATTTCCAGTTTTCCAATTAGCAAATAGTATCTATCTATTTAATGGGGACATTTGTGTCATTAACACAGCCTAACATGTTGAAAACATGCATGACAAAGATATCACTAAAGTGGGATAGGTAATTATTAAATATAGAATATAGATAGAATAAGAATATAATTATGCATAAATTAATATCTGTAAATATTGCACAAATGATTCTTATATGATAAGCACCACAAATAGCTGTTATTGAGTGATATGTTTTTATGTTTTTAATGTAATGAAAATTCAATAAAGTTTATTTAAAAAAATAAAGTATTCTTTTATCTTATTCCCTTACTTAAAAGATAAAAACATTAATACCAGGCTAATTTGTAACATGGGATAATTAAAGTCCTGTTGTAATAATTCATTACTATATTCAAAGATGTTATATAAATATTATTCTCAACATGCTCTAGCTTCTATGATGCATGATAATTCATCCATAATTGTCATCTATCTGTCCTCAGGTAAATAATAATGATGCCTAGGAGATGCTACTGGCAATTGCTAGGTAAACAGTTCTATCATGCAAACTCTGAAAGACTGAAATGAAAGCTAGGGAAAATGGAGGGTAGTTTAAGATTTTAGAGATGGTACCACACTTACTCCTTAAGCAATCCTCTGAAGCCACTTTTTTTCAATCAGGCAAAACCAGATCCACACAGAGCTACAAAATCTAGACGAACACACAATTACAGAAAATGCACATGCTTAAATTAAAGCTATTCTGACCATCTGTGGTGGTGCACAATGTGAAATCCAATTGTTCACACATTTTTTTCTATATACTGAAAGTTGGTTTTGAAGTTGCCACACCAACTTTAAAACTGGGAATTAGTTCCGAAAGAGAAGGGGAGAGAGATTGTATGCTGATGGGGGAGGCAAATGATATTGTCTGGGAGAAGAAACTGAGAAAAATAACACACGAGCAAGTGAGGTGGCAGAGAAGTGAATTTTGGTCATTGAAAGCTGGAAAATGAAAATTACTCTTCCCTAAGAGAAAAAGAGAGGAGACAAGCTACTTAGTACCGAAGAAGCAAATAATGCTGACCTTAATGAGAAGAGAGAAGAGAGGGCCTCAGTTAAGTGGAGCACAGTTATTACAGAAAGAGATGGACGAGATATGCAGCTAACGAAAAACATGTTTTCTTGCATGAAATCTATCCACGTTGCCTTGAGCAGCCACAGAAAGTAAACAACTTTTTAAGGCAAGGGTCTTCAAACTTGGCAAGTTTAAGACTTCTGGACTTCAACTCCCAGAATTCCCGAGCTAACATGACTGGAGGAGGAATTCTGGGAGTTAAAGTCCACAAGTCTTAAAGCTATCAAGTTTGAAGACTCTTTTTGTTAAGGTGACATCATTACTATGAAATAAACTTGCACTCCACTTAAAATGGGCAAAATCTACGGTTAAATTTGCAACACACTCTTTATTGTTCCCAGTCTAGTACGTTGAGCAACATCAATTGTCCACCTATTTTAATTTCCCAGAGTGGTCATGATATAATGCTTCTCTGGAAAAACTGTGGAAAATTGAACTGTGGAAAATCATATCAGGTAGCTGGATTATGTCCCCACTCTACCAAGAGCAACCCAGAAGTTGCTTCAAAACCTCTCTCCCCATTTGCAACCCTATTAATACAAAGGCAATTTAGCACTGAAGGGCAGCATTCATAGGAACCTGTGTGAGGACTATGAAACAAGACCTCATAGCAGGAGAAGCACACTATTGTATTCTATGGGTTTATGGTAAAGCACCAGCTAGACCTCTCAGCCAAAATATCTATGCAGTTTTTCTCAAAAATAAGTTAGTTGATGAGGCTTTTCTTTATATTTTGTTCTTCAAATAAACGTGTTTCCTGTCTCCGGTGACAGATGTTTATGCAGGGCCTATTTGCTCAAACAGTCTTTCTACTTCCAATCACAACAGTGGAAGGACTGAGCATTGACTGGTGTGTTGTCTGATGGTCTCCAAACTCCGATTGCAAAGCCAGGCCTTGAAACCTGGTATTCTCTGGCACTTGGAGGACCCAGCAGAAATCTTAACCCAACATTGACAACTGTGTCTTGAAGGATGCTGTTTTCTGAACATCCACCCCTCTTGGCACCTCATTCATGGAGTTCTCCTGCCTTGGTTGTAAATAGAGCCAGAGAGCAAGGCAAATATGCCAAACTTCCTGAAGCATAAAAAAAGCCCTTATAAATCTGGGATGAGGGAAACAGCCAGATTCAGCTGTACTTTTCCACCCGAAAATGCCCTTGGAAGGAAAGAGCTAGTGACCTCAGCTTCAGGTTTTGGCAGTGATGGAAGATGCTTTCAGTGGTCTCTAAAGCAAATAAAGGAGAGAGAGAGGAAGGGACGCCATGTACTGAACGGGAGTAAAATAGGTAGGAGTAAAAAGAGGAATTGCTTTAGCTACTCGCTGCCCCTGCGTATAAAAAAAAATCTGGATCTATGACGTTTTAGCCACACTGCCGGTTATAGAGACAACCACATTACATGATTTCCATTTGCACCTATTTCTATTCCACACCTTTTGGCTATTGCTGTGCTGTAAATATAGGCATAAAATTCTGAAACAAATCAACATTGAGACAGGTTGTGAGAGTTGAGTGCCTTCAATTCGGGCTTCGTGTCTCAGAAAGGAATTAGATAAGGAAATTCCATCTTTCAAAATAAGAGGACAGATGCTCCAAGAAGTTCTTGAGAAGCTCTTTGGATCTCACTGTAACAAAGGAAAACCAGATAAAAATGCTTATAGTGCCTGGTGAGGGTTGAGGACAACACAGAGGCAGAATAGATATCCCAGCAGTAGGAGCAGAGTTCTAGCACCAACTTGAGAACTCCAAGGAGAAGTCTTTATTTGCTAAGCAAAGAATTCAATCTTTCAAGGTTTTCTTTGAGTGCTTCTGTTTGGCAAAAACCTGGATGAACAAGAGTGGGCAAGCTTGAATACTATCGCAAAAGAATAATAATACAGGTTTCCACCAACAGCTATGCACGGATTTTACATAATGCCAAGAAAAGGAAGCCACATAAATTCAGTTTTTCATATTTCTGCATTTGTTTGATCTGAAATTGAACTTTTTATTGGGAATGTTGACTTCTGGAAGAAGCATATTTCTGGACTTCCAACTCCCAGAATTCTCTAGCCAGTATGTCTGGCTGGGGAATTCTGGGACTTGAGGTCCACAGCTCTTAAAGTTGCTCAGGCTGGATATACCTGGGGTAGAGGAAGAGAGTCAATGCAGCCATGTCCTTCCTGCTTATTTTCCATTGCCTGACTAAGAGGTCCAAGGTAGTCTTCATAGGTCAGTGAACAAGAAGTGTTACTGAGTATGCAAATGCAGTTTTATTCCAGTGCATTTTTTTCCTGATAGTGCTGGTGCTTCAGATTTCTATTGGAATTAGTAATTATCTGCTATCTTTCCTCAGAGGGTTGAGATTCGGTTAGGAACAGAAAGTTCTGGAAAGTCTATAGTTGGATAATAGTGGAGCATTTTTCAATCCTTTTTTATAATGTGGGATATTTTTTATCTGGACCAAATCAGAGATTGACAATTTGTTGTACAGCAATTATAATGTGAATAAAGCCTCAAAGCCATTGGTGGAGCCCCAGAACTAAATAAAATATGACATAATGGTAAAAAAAAAAAAAGACTCCTGACTCATGCCGTTGCTGAATATCCCAAGATATCAATGCCTGACATTAAAATAGTATGAAAGTTGACAATTTCCTGAGATTTTTGTTATTATAAAGAAATATTTTTATTTTTCTGACCACTTAAAGCCCCAATGAAACACTTTATGGATCATCATTCCAGATCACAGATTGGGACAATATGCTCGGTTGGCTAGATAGTGGTTCAGTTTGTCTTGTAAACCACCTTAGATGATGACTATAATGGGAAATCATGAGCAACAATGGGAGGGAAGATGACCTGACATTGTGTGCATGATAATGTTATCTAATTTCCATCATTTGTGCAGTGATATAATGGATATGACATTGTGATGTCTGTTGCTGCATACTGTATATTGCCTTGAGTTCTATGGAAGAAGTGGGTACAGATATTAAAAATGAAAGATTCAGATTCAAAATACTGATACCTGTGAAATATAAGGGAAACAATACATTCCCTCCAAAATAAACTATGGTTCTTTTTTCTCCGTAAACTCAGGTTTCAAAGAAAGATGCGGGCCTGGATTTTCTTCTTCCTCTGCCTGGCAGGCAAGGCGCTGGCAGCTCCAGTGAGTATCATTAGCTCTAAAAACCCATTTTCTGAATATTACAGATGCTGCAGTTTACAAACTCTCCACATTGTACTGTAAAGTTAAAAGTATGCACTTCAGCCCACAACACTCAGAAATAGTTCAGCACTGAAGATCACTGTCAACCTTCCTACCCAATTATGAAAGCTTCCAACTTCTGCTGATTAAATTTTATCCAGTTGTATCTCATCCACTCTGCAGTCTAGTCCAGCCAGGACCAATCAAGGAATTTTGACAATGTATGACAAACTATAAAAGCTTTTAGCAAGGTAGTCATAACAATTATATTGATATATCCTTTTTTTAGTAAATATATCAGATTGAGAGCTACCCAATATATATAAGTGCATAGCCATCATGTTGTTCATTTCCAAAGTAAAAAAAGGGAAATTAATAAGTGAAAGTCATTGAAGGCATGATGCAAGAAAAAGAATTATAGCTAAATCTAATTTAGACTATTACCATTCACTATCCCACCCCTGACTATGCCACTTATTTATCTGTTCTTGGAAACCATTCTTGCTTCCACCAAGTCCATGTGCCAATTAATTGTTACATTTTCTTTAAATGTCTTACCTTTCTCTTTTTTGATGATTTCATTAACTTTCAACATCATCCAATCACAACTTTCCTCTGATGTCATTCACTATTTGATTTTCATTTGAGTCTTTCATCCATTCTAGTCAGTCATTTGATCCACATTAATTCATCCCCTCTTCATTCTTGACACCCTCTCTTCTTTTACCTATTTCATCTTCATTCAATTTATTTTTATGTATCTCAGGACATACCCGATATTATATCACAGTGTAGGCAGAGCAAACATAACCATACCATAAGCAAACTACTTCAAAGTCATATTTTAACGTTTCTCAAGTTATACTCGCAGACTTATCATTTCATGAAACAGTAAAATAACCTATAAACTCCAATATTATAACCAGTATAAAAACAACAAAGATAAGAAATCCCCTGAGAAATAATTATGTGCATTTATCACCAAGAGAATGTGAAGGATATTTTGTATTGTTTATAGGAGTGCAGTATGGCCAAGGAGTGTTGAGTGCCTTCAATTTGGGCTTTGCCTCTCAGAAAGGAATTAGATAAGGAAATTCCATCTTTCAAAATAAGAGGTCAGATGCTCCAAGAAGTTCTTGAGAAGCTCTTTGGATCTCACTGTGACAAGGGAAACCAGATAAAAATGTTTATAGTGTCCATTTGATGAGGGTTGAGGGCAACACGGAGGCAGAATGGATATCCCAGCAGTAGGAGTAGAGTTCTAGCACCAACTTGAGAACTCCAAGGAGAAGTCCTTATTTGCCTTTTTCTCTCTCTCTTACAGCAGGATGCTCTTCCAGAAGAGATGGAAGTTATAGAGGACCCTGCAACACAGGTAAAGAGTAACAAAGTGCTAGCCCCTTCTTTTGCTTCTTTGATGCTGTTCTTACATGCGAACAACCCTAGGAGTGGGATGGAGAATTAAATAGCTTTAAATTCTCAGGACAGAGGGTAACGGCATATATGTTCATCTCCTGCTGCTACAGTTTTCCTAACTGCAGCTCGTTTACTTTATTTCATTCATTTGTACCTGCATATCACACATACAAACACAATAAATTCTTGTAGGGTGATGTACTCCCATTCAGACTTCCACTTAAGACTCCAATTCCTTTTTCAGTATACTCATTGCTTTTTCTTTCCTGCCCTCAGTTGTCTATCCAATCACAGAGCCAGAGCCACCATAACTGCTCAGCCTTGACTCAGCTGTTTTGTGGTTATCTCCCCTCCACTCACTTTTTTCTTTTTCCTTAAAAAATAGTTTTTACCCTCCACTTTATAAACGCATCTCCCTTATACATGGTTGATACTGTTTAATTTGAATGAATATAAATGCTTAGAACATTACAATATAAAATATCAGAAGTAAAGAAATACATGTCAGGAACAGACTAAACAAATTATTGTTTGCCTACAGCAACCGCTTTTAAAAAATTAATGGATAAAACTTAGATGGTCACATAGCTTATATGCCATAATCTTAGGTGGCTCTCAACAAAACCAATAAAGCAGCAATAAAAATAATTATGTCACCTATAAAAGGAGGCATTAGGAATTGTGTGTTGTTGTTTTTTGGAAAATATCAATAGCTAAGACCTAAAATAATACCTTGCTTCTTAAACTTCGGGTGCTTTTTGTAAATGTGAGGGGTGTGTTGCATGTGGGTACTTTAAATATACTAGAAGGCAGCATTCTTCATCCTGGTACCTTCAAAGTGTGTTGTTGCACTTAAATTCTTAGTGAATTCTGTAGTCTAAAGTTTTAGGAAGGCTCCAAATTGCAAAAGATTAATTTGGGGTATTTTTTGTTTTTGTTTGGTATTCTACTGTTTCTATATTATGCTATTGTTATGAGCTTGTCCAGAGTCATTCAGAGGCAGGTGGCAGCCATATTGAATAAATAAAAATGGCTTACAAGTAATAGTGTAATATGGGTACAGTATCCACGCTGCAGAAACAAGTCATCCATCAGACTCTAACTGTAATTGATCTCATTCCATCTGTTCATTTAGGAACCAGTTGGAATCAACCCAGTCCAGGTGGAGGTTGGCGAGTTTGAAGAGACCACTGTGGATGTTGAGGAGTTTGTGGCTGAAAGTAGGTGGTTGCATAGCTAGATCCCTAAGATGTACTGATATAAAGTATTTTGTGTATATGCAAAATCTATGCATCTGTAACAGGTACATACACTTTATACACATAAGATATCAAGAGAACTGAAATTGGCATCTGTCATCATGACATGTGCAGTAAGCCCATACCTAGAGGGCAAAACTTCAAACCAGCACAAGAAGAAAAAATAAATAAGATTTTCCATTTACAAAAAAAGAAGCCATATTTAGAGTGGAAAAGAATACACTTTGGGGTGTTCCTTTGTATCAAGAGCCCCAGTGCATATTGTACAGTGGTGTTATATTCCTATATATTAGTCTGATCGGGAATAAGAATCAAATGGGAATCGTTTAACAAAGAAAGCATTTGTCTCTCACATACACAGACACAGGGTTTGACACCAGTTTTCTCCTCATTTATGGGAAGGCTCATGGAGTGTTCACTGGGTGTTCACTGGGAATCAGGAATGATAATGACACACAGTCTATCATCAGTCAATCAGTTAGAAGCATTTATGTTGAAATCCCATACACACATTCCTCCTTGGAACAGAGAATCCCAAAGGTGCTTTTTTCAAGAGGCAACTGGACTCCCTGATTTTTCTTTGAAGACATTTCATTTCTCATCCAAGAAACTTCTTCAGCTCCGACTGAATCTCTAACCCACCAGCTGTCTGCAAGAAATATAAATCCTACCATTCTCCACCATCCAATCAGAGCTGAAGAAGCTTCCTGGATGAGAAGTGAAACATCTTCAAAGAAAAACCCGGAAGTCCAGTTGCCTCTTGAAAAAAGCGACTTTGGGACAACCATGACCTGGATGACTGAGAATCTCCATAGACGAACAGTTAGAGAACTGAAGTGCATATATTTTCTTCCATTTCATTACATGATTCTTGGTCTTGGACTGCACAGTTCAGATTTTCTCCAGGACAATAACCAGGTCCCTAACCTGGTTTTTCAGGTCTTCCAACAGTGCATTCTTCACTATTGTAATTGAGGTCCATCTACCTTGCTCTCTTGCCTCCCACCTTTCCCTGCATTAGAGCCTTCTCCTCCAGAGAGCTAGATCCTCTCATAACATGATCAAAGTAATTTGAGCCTGAAGTGCATAAGAAGTTCATAAATTTTCATATGGGGCTGAAAAGAATCAAGCAGGTTATTGTATCAGATCTGGAATGTAAGGAGAATCAGGTGATGCTTAGGAAAAATTCCCCTCCCCTTACACTGGGAATGGCATTTTAGGTCCCAAACTGGACAATCAATATGTCTCTTTACACCACCTCAGAGCAAAACAACTCCACAAAATGATTTAATTGCAAGGAGAATTAGAGTAAACCATGCAGGGGGCTTCCATTTCCCTCTCCTTTCTCCAAGGGGAAATAATGAAGTTATTCTCTTCCTCATGGTAATTCACTATAGATTGCTGATCATCTCCTCCCACTAGCAACAGGACAAGAGCAATCCAGTCTCTCTTAGGATACTTATACTTATTAGGTGATAAACTACCAGGTCTCTTCTTTTCCCACCAGTTCATTTCCTGCCAGGGAGCAGATGATATTAGCTATGGGAAAGAGTGGGAGGGGGACTCACAGTGAGTCATCACAGCAGTGCAGGCAGGATGCCCATTTATATTTTAAAGAATTTTGAAGGGAATAAATTGTCTGAGGATGGATATTATTTATCTGAAACCAATCTACACTTCATTTAAATAGTTTAATTCATCTTTTGTTGAATGTTATTAATTGATTAAATGAGAAACACTTGAAATACATTCATCCAGAAGTTCACAAATGCATTAAGCCAGAAATTCCACAAACTTTGTAGAACGACAACTATGCTTTGTGAGTTTCTGCAAGCAAAGGGAAGACCAAAGCCAGGAGAGAATTTGTTCTTGTTTTGCCTGTGTATGCTTGATCAGGGTTTTTTTTTTAAGTACAACCCCTTCAAATTATTGGGATCTTCTGGAGGATTCTAGTTTGTGAATCCTACATTGGATATTTGTTTTGAAAATATATGGAAACATTAAAATTCCATAGAAGAATTTGCACCATTCATCACAACCAAATACTGGTTTTGATTGGTTGGTCCTGGTAGTTTCCATGTTGCTCCAGTCAGTGATAAATGCAAACAACTTAACTGGACCTTAAAATTGAAGTGCATAAACTTTCTTAGGAGGCTCTCCTGCATCTGATGAGCTACTTTAAGCTTGAGTGTGATGCTTATGGTTTTGTCATGACAAGTCCTTCAGTTTTTGTGAAGCAGTATCGGCCCTTTTTGGATTCTAAAATGGCTTCTCGGATCTGCCTTAGACCCCTGCCAAAACCATCACTGCAAACATGGCAAAGTCTGTGAAGTAGATGAAAGCAACACTCCAATGTGTGTATGCCAAGATCCTTCCACCTGCCCAACCAGCACTGCAGTGTTTGAGAAGGTAAGCAAAGACTTTAGTTACAACACAAGGTGAATAAATATATACCAGTATAAGACAAAAGAAAGATACTCAGTTATCGTGCAGCTGAATTATAACTACATATTCAAGATTGTAATGAATTGCATGTCAGGTTCTGCAATGAAAGCCGATGTAACTATTGTATAGGTTACTACCAGTTTATAAAAAAAAAACATGGGGAGGATTGTCCTTTAACTTTGGAGGAAAAGGGATCAGGAAAGGAGAATTTATCTGGACTCATGCAGGGTAAGATTATGAATGAAGTCCAGATTGGTTGGCAGTACATAATTCTGTTCATTTCTGAACACCTGCAATTTTAATCATCACTCCGTCTTTATAGATTGCAGAAGGCAGATGAGAAAGGCAGATGAGCTTTCCAATGGTTCTCTCTGTGTTGGATAAATAACAGAAAGCAACATTGGGAGGCTTCAACTCTACTATTTAGGATTTGCTTTGTGGCCTACCACAAATGTCTATCTTGAACCTCATACTCATTTAATATTTATACAGCATGCAGCTGTTTAGAAACAGCATTCATCATTTGGAAATGCAGTGACATCAGTGAACTTTCCGTTGTCTTTGAATTTGAGAATGTGAGCTTAGTCCTTGAAAGAGTCCCAGTTGCATTTTGAGTCATGGAATTTGACAGATGGAAGTGTAATCTGAGCAGACTTGTTGATTTGTTGTCATAGAGTAGGAGAAAGACCATGGTCCATTTGGACACTTTTTCTAACACAAACAATCTTTTTCACAAAGGTATGTGGTACTGACAACAAGACCTATGACACCTCCTGCCACTTCTTTGCCACCAAATGTACCTTGGAAGGCACCAAGAAAGGACACAAGCTTCACCTGGATTACATTGGACCTTGCAAACGTGAGTCATCGTCCTTAAGAATGGAACAGTCCAATTAGAAAATAACTCCTTAGGAATGCCCTTGTTAGAAATGACCATGTTTTCATAATCTAGGGACTTTGACATTCATGCAGTCTGAGGAATTTGGAACTATGTGGAGGCCATATTAACATGGAATGCAGGGTGATTTTGATAATAGGTACCCTGCAAGTTTTCTGTGCCAGTTGGTAAATGATAAATCATCCAGTGTTGAAGTCTAACTTTAATCTATTCTTTGATTGTCCCAAAGGTGCTTTTTCAAGAGGCAGCTGGACTTTCTGGTTTTTCTTTGAAGATGTTCTGCTTCTCATCTAAGAAGCTTCTTCAGCTCTGACTGGATAGTGGGGAATGGAATGGACATCATCTATCTCCAGTCTACAACATAGTCCTTTCAACAGTTCCAAGAAGGCACCACACCCATTTGCACCACTCAGGTGACCCTGATGACACAGATAAATCTCCAGGTGGCCTTAATGACTCACTAAAAGAATGCAAATGACCAGCTGTCTGCAAGGAGTATAAATCCTTCCATTTCCCACCATTCATTTAGAGCTGAAGAAGCTTTTTGGATGAGAAGTGAAATGTCTTCAAAAATAAAAAACCCAGAAAGTTCAGTTGCCTTTGGGACAACAGTGACCTGGATGACTGAGAATCTCCACAGACTATTCTTTGATGATGACAGTTTGTTTCCTCAGCTCCTTTATTCAGCAATGCTTCCTAAAGGTTAAGCCTTATTCCACCCACCACCTCACCCCTGGCCATTCCTTCATTTTTATAAAGGACATTGCGCATATTGCCAGAAAAACTTCTCTTTCCCTCTTTGTTCAAATAGCAGAACACAGACAATGATAACCCATCAGTGCTTACTCATTCCCTTTCAAACTGCTGAGTGTATTCCCTCCACCCAGTTTCTAATATTCCATAAATACTTGCCTTTGCAAGTAAGTTTTTAGCATTCCCATTCCTCGCACATACACATACATTTCATGATTTTACTCATATGCATTTAAGTGCAATTGTTTGATGCTTTGGGAACCCTTTGTTCTGAAAGTTCTGATAAGCTAATGGTCAGAAGAGGAATTCGTTTAAAAAGAAACACACACAGAGAGACATAGAAAAGCCTCAAAAGTCATCAGCAATGCAGAGGGAATCCTGTAAAAGCAGCACTCAAACAACTTGGTTAACCTAGCCAATTCTAGGTACTACATGCCAATAAAAATCACATTTGAGGGTTTTCTCCCTAGATGGGATAAAAGAAACATTAACTAGGATCTGGGTGGCTACAGCAGGCAGGCTTTCCAAAATAAAATTAACCTAAGAAGAGGATGGTTTCATTGGAACATGGATTTCCTCCTCCTCTGAAGCAAACTGTTTTTCTTGGGAAGGAAAGGAATGGTAGTTTTGGAAATCTGCATCCCATCAAATTAATAGAATTCCAGGAATCTCCCAGATTTAAGTGGACTTTAATACTACATTTCTGATTTGGAGTGTTAGATTCCACTTCCTGCTTCCTTGACTTTTAGTTAAAGGAGCAGGAGGAATCTTAAAAACTTTTTTAAAGCAAAAACCGGGTCAATCAATATCATTGTAGGTGACTAAATTCAACTTTAAAATATCTTTCAAAAGTTCAGGCTGGCTCAGAATACTGAAAATAATGTCTGGAGCAAATTGAGAAGATAATTTCTGTGCAATGCAGACCTTATGGCGCATATTAACAGACATGGATAAAACTATTAACGAGCGTGGCTATTAAATGGTCCAACTGTGCAACTGTGTTGGGGAAGGGAAGCAGTGAATTGGAAGGGTGATAGAGGGTGGAAGAAATGTTCCAACAGGAGGGAAATGATGCACATCACAATGCCAATGCGATTAACTGTGGAGGAAGGGGGTGTAATTGGAGGCACAAAGCAGCAGCATCTCTGTCCTATCACAGAAATTGCAGCTGGTCTCTTTCTGCTATTTATTAGTCGGAATCAATGTGTCCACTGCTGAATATAATAGTTCTTTGGTTATTTTTTAATAAATTGTGCCTGGACTGATGGGGCTCTGGTTGCATTTCAGTCATCCCTGACTGCCTTGATATTGAGCTGGCTGAATTCCCTCTGCGTATGCGCGACTGGCTGAAGAATGTGCTGGTTACCCTGTATGAGCGGGATGAGGATAACAACCTGCTGAATGAGAAGCAGAAACTCAAGGTGAGCAAGAGACACACTTAAGCAGAGCTCTGTAGTTTATGATGCTTTTTTTTTTTTTTTACAAAGGCATGCAGTTAATATCCCCCAATGTATTTTTCTGACCAGGTGAAGAAGATCCACGAGAATGAGAAGCGCCTGGAAGCTGGAGATCACCCAGTAGAACTCCTTGTCCGTGACTTTGAGAAAAACTACAACATGTACATCTTCCCTGTGCACTGGCAATTTGGACAGCTAGACCAACATCCTGTTGATGGGTATATACTGCTATTCGTAGCTTATGAGAAACTTGGCATAGAGAAGTCCCATTATCTCATTAACAAAATTAGATCTTGGTTACTAGTGGTCATCCTTTAGCAAGGTGGGGCTAAAACATTCACCTGGGATACAGAAATCAGGACTCCAATTTTGTTTAGAGTTAACAGGTGAAATCAAACAAGATAACAGGTAAAATTAAATCATCAGTGAGCTGTAGCACTATTAAAAAAAATCAGACCCTGATCTCAAATAATGACAAGTTGTTCATTATAATTGATTAGGACTTTTATTTCCAGGATCACTAAATAGGATTTTTTTTTCAAATCCTGAGGTGTATTTCATTTTTTAAAAAAATGTTTAAAGATCTTAGCACAATATATAGAGAGAATAAAACTAACACTCTGATGCCAGACTATAAAAGATCCAATGCAGATTGCATTTGTCCTTTAAATATTTAAGCTGAGATTAGGCATAAAATACTTATCATCATAAGAAGCTTCTTTGTAAAGGTGTTTGACGGAAAAAGAGATAATGGAAAACTCTTTGTCCCATAAAACAGGAAACTGCACATTTTACTCTGGAAGGCTTATTGATATATTATCTAAGTTAAATATATAAAAGGAGAAAGGTGCAAGATAATAGGGGATATAAACAGGATTTTTTTTCTTTTTATGGCCCCCATGTCTGTTAATTTGAGGTAGAATCTGGGTGCCTGGATCAGTTGGTGGGGTTCAATTTTTTTTTACTATCAGTTCTGTGGGTGTGGCTAGGTGGGCATGGCTTGGTGGTGTGGCAGGGGAAGGAAACTGTAAGATCTTCATTCCCTCCCCACTCCTGGGGGAAGGATACTGCAAAATCCCATTCCTTCCCCACCCCACTAACCTGCTTTCCAACTCCGTTCTCCTGTGCAGGGCAACAAAAGAAGACCCAGCCAATCCGCTGGGACTTCGGAGGCAGAGAATAGATGGGGCAGGCCCAGTCAGAGGTGGGATTTGCCGGTTCTCCGAACTACTCAAAATTTTCACTACTAGTTCTCCAGAACTGGTCAGAACCTGCTGAATACCACCTCTGGACTGGATGGAGCTGAGCATTTATTTACTGGCCAAATGCCCTTCCTGACACCTATGTTTGCAGCAGATTTTTTTTCAGTACGGCTGCAAAACTGCCCATTTTGAGTGAGAAATATAAAAGGAAAGTGATTAGTTAAGCATCCAGTAAGACTAATGCACATAGAAAACTTTAAAATATCTTATGAAAGAAAAGTTGGGGAGCATGAGTTGAAAACCTTAGCCTTGTTCCCTTTGGTGGGTAACTTTTGACAGGAATTTCAGGGATAGAGCCCTGATCCTGCCTCTCCCTCTTATTTGTGATTCTTCCTTTCCTCTATTTCCCAAGCCCTCCTGTCAGGTACAAACAACCAGACCCACACTTGTACAGTTCAAACAGGCTATTTTATTGTTAAGGCTCAAAGCCACGGGAGGGGGTGGGGAGGTCCTCTTATATTTACATAATAATTCTAGAATAATCTAATCTCCCTCTTGGGACGATTGTTCTCCAACACTTCCCAAGCACAGTTGGGTATTCTCTGTCATCTGCTCACATCTCATGCTCAAAATGTTCCTGAATAAAAAAGATTATAAGGTAGAGGTAGAGCAAAATCGTGCAATCATTGTCTCTCTTTTTCATAATTGCTTTTCCAGGTTATTTGCTCCAGGTTGTTTGCACAGTTATTTTTTGCAATGAAATGATGCTGGGGATTCATTCACCCATCATGCACTCTTTCTGGGAATGGTGTTAATTGTGCTCACTTTGATATTCCTTTCAGATACCTGTCCCACACTGAATTGGCCCCACTCAGAGCTCCCTTGATCCCGATGGAGCACTGCACCACTCGCTTCTTTGAGGCATGTGATCTAGACAACGACAAATACATTGCTCTGGAAGAATGGGCCAACTGCTTTGGCATTAAGGAAAGTAAGTATCACAAGAGGTTAGCAAGGCCACATTCAAGACCCACATACTGTTGTGGGGCAGGCTTGAGCTCCCGTACTTCGCTCCAACCCCTGCCAGGGACCTGAAAGGAGCTCCCAACTGGTCATCACTCCCCCCCCGCCAGATAATGATGATATCACCTGCTAATGCTTTCAACAGGAAGTGCCTCAGTGCTTCTGACATGAGCGCAATGCAATCTATGGTGACCACAACTGAAAAAGGGAGAGAGGAGAAGTGGCCTTAATTCTAAACATCTCTAGAAGAATATCTGTGCAGAGAAAAAAAAGTGCTGATCTACAGTGAGATTTTGAGCATACTTGCTCAGCAGTAAATTTGTCAGCCTTATGAAACTTACTCTAGATAGGTGTATATAGAATATCAACCCGAGAAGCTTTATGAACTGGAATAAGTGACGATGCTCTTGGTGAACACTGATTTTAGTAATTACCAATTAGCTGAATTGGCTAACTGAAATTAGCTGAAGCTCTTAAAGACCCTTTTTTTCATTTGTATCCCAGCTTTTCTTCAAGAAATTCAGAATGGCTTATAAAGGTAGTCTTTATTTAGCAACTGACTCGTCTGATTGTTTCGGTTATGACAGTAATGAAAAACTAACTTTGCACCAGCCCTCATATTTATGACCTTCACAAGTCTGTAAAACAAAAGAAAGCTGAAGTAAGATCATAAGCCAAGTCACAGTTATACTTACCAACCCCTTTGCTTAATGACCAAGCTGCTGTTCCCAGTTCTGGTTGCTAAATGAGATTATCTGTAACCATATCAGAGAGCTTCCTTAACCAAAACTGTTTAACTTTAATGGTAAAACGGAATAATATATGCATTTAGAATTTCTAAAGGCTCAACATTTTTTCACAAATCATTCTTCTGCATTTTAACTAGCCAAGCATTCCTATTCCTCAGTATGGCTCTAAAAACCTCTTTCTAAAATAGCAGTCTATTAGCCAATAGTTTATAGCTTATTCTCCAAGCTAATATCCTCCAGAGATTACAACTTTATAACTCTGAACACCGTGGGCAGGAATTCTGAGAGCAGTAACCATTGCATCTGGTTGGTACCAGTTTGGAAAAGACTGTTCTTTAGATAACAAATCTAAAATCTAAATCCTAGGAGAGGTGATTGAATCACATAAATGTTGTGTAAGACAGTGTCAGTAAGCATTTTTCTTACATGATGTCTTCCTTTCTTTCTTTTTTACAGAGGACATTGACAAGGATCTTGTCATCTAAATTTAGCAGCTTCTTCGTCTGTTATGCACAAGTTGTGTTCTTCCGTTTTAACAATTTGAAGAGTGTTTTTCTTTATTTTATCGGGGACAAGGTGCTAATATAGGTCTAAACATATACATTAACGGTGCTAAAAAAAGAAGACAGAAAGTTGATAGTAGCTTAATCTATACCACTAGATCACTTTGCTCACACACTCATTGTGCATTTCTATTGACCTTTTAATTTGATGATACCAGTACAGTAATTAAACACAAATCTGTTCCAACTTTCTACTCCTTGGACTATTTAAATTGACTCTAGCTGATAGACTCAAGACTATTAATCCCCTAATTTCAAAGAAAGGCAAGAAAGGAAGATAAACCAAAAAATGTGTGGAGAGACTGGGCTTTACAAAGTCAAGTGTTGCAAATGTTTTATGAAAGTTTAAGAAACTTCGATTTTATATGATAGTGCAGTGGGAATGGCAGGGGAGAAGATGGGACTGGACTGAAAATTCAGAAAGGCGAATGGGACAGTTCTTGAATGTAATGGTAATTGGGCACAAACTCAAAATGACATAAGCAGAAAACAACGGAAGTGTTGGAAAGTTTCAGATCTTGTAACCCTCTCATCCTCCCACCCTTTAAAAATAAAAAGTTAAAAATGCTTCTGCTTCACAGCTACTCAGTGACTGTACTGCTTTTTGCTGTGTTTCTATGTCTTAAAAGTTAAATTTGGTGCTTTATCAAAAATTGGTTGTGGCTGTTTTTACTGGGTCTTTCTCTTTTGGTGATTTATTTGTAACGGATACACATTCTGACACAACAAATCACATGCCTCTGATTCTAATGTCCTCTCTAGATCCCTATTCATATTTTTTCAGCCGATAATTTCAATTCTGCCCTTGGAGGTAAAACTTCAAATTATGTGATACAGTGTAAAAAGTGTTCAAATGTTTTTTGAGTTTGCTTACTAATTAGTGATTAGTAACAGTGATTTGGTTTACAAATTGTATCCATTCATTTTTATATAATCATATTTATTAAATAAACCACAATTGATTTATAAATTAAAATATCTAAGTTCACAAAGGACCACAAGTCAAAAGCAAACAAATCACATTATGATTTGGTATGATGATTTAACCCAGCCATGTGATAGATAGGTGTATTTCCATATTGGAGGCAGGACATAGGAACAATAATTGACACTGATCATTTGATTCGGCTGAATGAAATCAGTTTTGCTAAGATTCAAATAACATATATCTGCAAATTTATGTTAATTTTTATGTTGCATGACACCTAGAAATTATAGTTCCAGGAGTAGCTAGAACCTCAAATATGGGTTTTTAAAATCTTATACTCAGGATGATTCTTTGCATAAAATATAAATAAGTATAAAATAAATTCAAACGAATGCCTTTACACATATTATCTATTTAATCAATTGATTTACCATATTGAAAAAGAAGTCCAAAACCTATCTACCTATACAAAGAGATGTTGCATCTTCTTTTTGTATTCCTATCCTCTCCTGTTTTACAAAGGACAATTGACTGAAATCCTGCAGTGGAGGAATAAAAGCTAGGAACCAGTGGTTAAAATCTTTGATTAATTGTGTTATCGAAAGATATATTAAGGTTTGAATGAAGAGTCTGTTTACTCATACGGAGTTAAGGAGATATTAAGGGAAAGAAAGGACTGCAGGGTTTTAAACTGATTTGAATTATTCAGGAGAATAATGTCTCCTTTGTCCCTAGTGTGAATAACAAGCACAGCTGCAACAGAAAATTAGGCATAGATGGTCTTCAGCCAGAAATATAAGAAGTCTCAGCCAGCACCTTAAAATCTGACCTCCCACTCTTGAGATCAGCAAGAAATTCCAGCACATTTAAAGGCCACTAGGCTGGGCGGCTAAGAAGGTGATTGGGTGCCACAGAGATATACTTCTCACCATAGCTACTTCTGTTCAATGATAATAGGACAGATTCTATTCATTGGAGATGGTACAAAATTCTGTTTCACATTATAACTGGTGTACATGCCCAAAATTAATAAAATTTGCTCCCCTGAGGCTCAGAGAGCAGAAAGAGGTTGCCATTCCCAGATTCTTCAACCCGTTTCTCATGCAACATCAGTGGAAAAAGAAATCAGCATTATTTAAAACAAAAGGCCATGTGTACACAGAATGAATAATTTTGGTCACTTGCAGACACTGTTTACTTATTTAAAAATTAAAGAAACTCCCTCATCTTCTAACCAGTTCTGGGTGGCCCCAAATCAAAAATTAAAACAACATATAAAATCATGTTAAAACTATAAACACCTTAAAGACCAAAGCTAACAAAGACCTGGCAGCAAATCAACCACCTGTGTAATTATCCAATTCCCTCAGGATTCCTACAAACATAGTACACGTTTATGGCAGTATTAAAGTTATAAAACTCGAGCAAATTTATTTTATTTATTTATTTATTTGATTTGTCAATCGCTTACAAGGTAATAGATATAAGCATGAGTAAGAATACAGGAAATAGGTACGAATAAATGGGGACAATAGGACAGGGACGGTAGGCACAATGGTGCACTTATGCACACCCCTTACAGACCTCTTAGGAATGGGGTGAGGTCAATAGTGGATAGTTTAAGGTTAAAGGAGTTTGGGTTAGAGGATGTAACAACAGAGTCAGATAGTGCATTCCAGGAATTGACCACTCTGTTGCTGAAGTCGTACTTTCTGCAACCAAGTTTGAAGCGGTTTACATTGAGTTTGTATCTGTTGTTTGCTCTTGTGTTGTTGTGGTTGAAGCTGAAGTAGTCATTGACTGGTAGGACATTGTAGCAGATAATTTTGCGTGCTACACTTAAGTCTAATTGCAGGCAGTGTAGTTCAAGGTTGTCCAAGCCCAAAATCTCAAGCCTGGTGATATAGGCTTAGGGTTAGGCTTAGGGTTAGGTTCTGCCAAAACCGTTAGGTTTAGTATGCATTTAGCACTCTCTCCAATCATGTATTTGAAATAATCTTTCCACCCTTCAGAGTTCGTTCCTCTTTTCTCAAGCTGCAAAAGCCCTTGACCTTTGGGGAGGAAAGTGTGCAAATCATTCAAAACAAGTGTCTGGCACAGCTGCTTTGTTTAACTAAGACAGAAACCGCCTTCAACCCCGGAGACTTGCAAAAAACGAGATGTTTCATTTGTGCTTCTCTGCTCTGCAAAGTGTCTCTTTTTGAATGCTTTGTATAACCCTAGCAGGGATTTGCAGTCTCCACAGGTGTGGGTAGCTCCAGCAATATTTTTATCTTTTGAAACATTTGGATGAGCACCATGACATTTCATTAAGATACCTTTCTGCTTGTTTTTCTTGTTTGCTTCTTTGGAAAGCATCAGCCCAGGTAGGCAAATAAAGAAAGCCCTGCAATCTTTCATTTTCTTCAGAGTTATCTTAGCCTTCCGCTCCTATTCCCAAGAGACCAACATTCTGCTGCCTTTGCAATTCCTGTGATTTCACACCCCCAGCCTGCAACAGGACGGAAGCTACATTAGCAGGAGCAAAGGGGGAGGACATGCCATTCCATTTCTCCTTGAGATCAAAAAAGCTCTTCTCCACTTTGTAGTGCTTACAGAAATGGGGCAAGAAGAGAGCTAAGGAATGGGTTGATTGCCTCCCCTTTTGCCCTGTTATCAGTTATATTTACATTCTTCAAGCACTCCAGCTCTTTCCAATTTGACCCAGACTTCTATCGTTCGCGCCAAAGAAATGAAGAATATGGCTTTTTATTTGACATAGTTACTGAGTCCTGACCACTTACAGTATATGATTCAAAGGAATATATAATTACACCTCTAAACTTTGATCCGTTTTGAAGGGGAGCCTGAAACATAATTTATAACCCAAAGGACTATTTCAGATTCAAGCAATTTTGTCTGCTTGAATTTAACTGATCAATTTCCAAGGTTCAAAGCCTATCATGATTTAGAGTTTTTCATGAACGTTCAGCTTTAGAAAGGATCTTGTGGAACACCAAAATTTTCTTTCAACTTGTTGAACATTAAAATAACCAAGTAAATTGTCCATCTTAGAAATGAAACAAATGTCTCACTATTGCAGTAGATTTTCTTCTACTTCCCAATCTTGCTTACAAACTTAAATCTCCTGGTGCTCTCTATCCAGTTAAAAGAGCCTTGGTGGCACAGCAGTTAGAATTCAGTATTACAGGCTGACTCTGTTCACTGCCAGGAGTTTGATCCTGACCAGTTCAAGGCTGACTCAGCCTTTCATGAGGTAGGTAAAATGAGGATCCAGGTTGTTGCGGGCAATATGCTGACTCTGTAGTGTAAACCACTTAGAGAGTGCCGTAAAGATTTGTTGAATCTCTCTCTCTTTCTCTCTCTCTGCCTAGTTCTGTGAAGTCACTCAAAGTCATCTTGATGCTTACATAACCTTAGTTAAATTGACCTCTTATTTTATTTGCACTGGGTTTCATTCCTAGTTACGGTATATGCATTTTTAAATTTTATTTTTAGCTATTTCTCATATGTGTCTCACACCCACTTCACAGAGCGTAACTCTGGGTGGTATGCAACAGTTAATTTAAAAAAAAACAATAAATATATAAAAACTCTTCTTACTAAAAAAAAACTATACCAAAAAACAACAACAACACAGGAGCAAGAAAGGATGATGTTAGCCACAGTAAGGGAGCCATTGCAAGATCTTCCTGGTCCTGTGGGACCCTCAGGCTTCATGGCATAGCCAGGTTTTGAGAGACTTGAAAAATGTCTAGAGGGATAGGGTTAACCTCACTTCTGGGAAGAGAAGATTCCAAAAGGCAGGCACCATGGCAGGGAAGTGTAGTTGCCTGGCAAATGGAATCCGCAGTATGCCTTTTCTGCCAGATCTGATAGGACAGGCAGTTATAAACAGGGAGAGGCTAGATAACCCAGCCCCGAGTCATAAAGGGCTTTAAAAATAAAAACCAGAACCTTGTATTGGACCCAGAAGCAAACTTGCAACCTCACAGACTGGCAAAATGCAGCTTGTGGAGCAGAGGTGCAAGACATGCTTCTTCTAAGGGCACGCATAACTGCTGCACCACTGCATTTTGTAGAAGCCTAAACTTCTGGATATTTTTCAAGGGCAGCCCATGTAGAGTACATTTACAAAATCCAAATGGGAGAAGATTAGGTCATGAGTGACAGTGAACAGAGCCACACAGTCCAGGATTTGAAGTATGCTTCCCAACTATATTTTTTAAGCAGTGTTTGCTTGTCCAGTCCAGTTTGGTTTAGTGTTTAAGACTCTAGGCTAGAAAACAAGACATGGTGAGTTCAGGTCCTGCCTTAAACACGAAAGTTGGCTGAGTCACCTTGGGCCAGTCACTCTCCCTCAGCCCAGTTCACCTCACAGGGTTGTGGTTGTGGGGAAAATAGGAGGAACATGAATTGGAATTTTTCACCACCTTGCATTGTTTATAAAATTAATAAAGGTGGGATATAAATAATCAAATCTGAAATTGCAAAGAAACTTCAAAAATGCATTTAGATCAGCCTGGCACAGCACTCCTCCAGTATATCTGATATCCTTCCCTAAAGCTGCCATGTCATAGCAAGCAGCCAATGTCTACATCCTGAGATTACCTTTCATGCTGAAGATTTTGGCACAGAAGGCTGCAGGTGAAGGAGGAAGTGATAAAATCACCTGGATCCAAGCCAATAAATACAAAACTTTATGATAACAAGAGAAAGTTATCG